CGTTCTAGCCATGCTATGCTTCGTTCATAGATATTCATTACATTCATATCTATTCACTTCGCATAGCCCTTTTTAATTGAATGCTGAGTAGCATAAAATTTCGTTAGATTTTTTTGGTTAGATTTTTAGAATGCATAGCTTTTTAAGCTTTGGAGGCATTAAAAACGGCTAAAAGCTAGGTATATAAATAAGAAATCTATGGGCTTTACAGGCGTTTTCTGATATGTAAATAAATTTGGTATCAAAAATCGAACCAAAATGACGCGTGAAATGCAAACCTAGCGTCATTCGAATGATGCATAAAAATATAAATCTAACCCTAGTAATGGATTTGACGTCCTAGAGCGTTAGAATTGTAATATCCTATATAGCAAATTCTGTCCCAAAACACCCAATTTGACATTGTGTTAGGGACACCTGCATATCATTGCAAATAATTGAATAAAGTGACATGACAAATTTTCTGTACAATGGACTTTGGCAAATGAATTGAACATAAACTCATTATTAAACAATTTTTGTGCCTCTAGGTAAAAACAATCACTTGCCTTTGACCTTTAAAATGCGAGATTTATGCATTTGTAGCTCTTCCAGTTATGGAGCAATAGCCTCTCAAAGAAACCTATGGTTTTTGACTTCGGAAGCTTAATTCTTTTCGGAAATCAGCTCTATTGAGATTGTTTTAGCATGATAAGACAGAGTACATTAAGAGCCTTCAGGAAATATATGATTCGGATGGTTTTCTTGGGGAAGGAAGAAATTAAAAGCAAAAAACAGTTTTATAAATTATTTATTATTATATATAAGAGCTTTTTAACAGTTTTTTCGCATTTCTAACTTTTATTATAATAAAACAATCATTACTATATTAGGGTTTACACTCACTAATTTCGGTTTTGCCAAAAGTGACTAAACCGAAATTAATAATAAATTGATCGACATTTCTCTGATTCATAGACGACGGACGAATCGTAATTTTTAATAATAATGCCTGTTCAAAAATTTCAAGACAAAGCCGTACTTCAACATCCCTCTGGATCTTCTGCAGAAGGTTATTTATTGATTATTAGCAATAGTAATGTTATTTGCAAAAGTAATTTTTATAAAATTCTTAACTGATTGATTGACTAGTTTATTACTATGGCGCTAATGTTACAAGTTGGAAATATGATGGCAAAGAAAGATTATTCTTGAGGTGAGAAAAAAGGAAGCGAGAAATCTATCAAATGAATAGTACTATTAGTTAACACAATACTGACAATTATTATTATATTTATTAGTAAAAAGTCCAAGCTTGATGGAACAAGAGCAATTCGTGGTGGAATTCCATTAGGTATCTCGTAATATTTCAAGCACTAATAATAATAATAATAATAATAATAATAATAATAATAATAATATTGTTATTATTATTATTATTATTTTCTCAATTCAATTTGACTTGATTCGATTCAAATTGTTATCTAATCTCTTTTGCTCATAATATTTTTTTTTTAATAATTTAGTTTTTCCACAATTTGGTAAAGCATCTGACCCATCAGCTGAAACAGCAGCTTTACCACAACATGGATTTGCTCGTACATCTAACTGGAATTTATCAGAAGTCATCATTGATGATGAATCTAAAGTATCTGTTGAATTTGGTGATTAATTTTTTTTTTTCATGGCTGTTATTAAATTAATTTTATCTAGCTCTAATCATTCTAATCATTCTAATTCTCTGATTCTAATCGTCACAGTTCTTACTGATTCTCAGGTTTCACCTGAATTGATATCTAAATGGCCAAAGAAATTTAAGTTAACTTTCGTCGTGACGTTGACTAAAGAAACACTGGAAAATACTTTTATTGTCAAGAATGAAGAAACCAAGGATTTATCATCATCATTCAACTTTCATTCATTGCTCCATACTTATTTTTCTGTTCCAGTAATTAATAATAATATTATTTTTATTCTTATTTTTATTCTTTCCTTTTTTTTTTAAACAAAATACTTCCATTAATTAGTTAATTAACTTACTTTATAATAATATTTTAATTAGGATATTTTAAAAGTGAAAATTCATGATTTAAATAATATAACATATACTGATAAAGTTGCAAACGGAGCAAAATTTTTGGAAAAAGGAGATGTTATCAAGATTGATAAACATACTGATCGTGTTTACATTGATGTACCAGCCTCTAAAATTCACATTGATACAGGAGAAGAAAAATTCATCGTTACAAAGATTAATTGTAAAGACACCGGTATAACTATCCTTTTATTTTGTGCAATGTTATGAGTTTTTAATTAATTGATTAATAATATTTTTTGATTTTTGATTTCTTCCTTCTTAATAGTTGTTTGGAATCCATGGATTGAATGGTCAAAAGCTACGACTGATATAGATGATGAAGAATATAAAGGAATGGTTTGTGTTGAAGTTGGTCAAGTTACTGATTATGTTAATTTGAAAGCCCAAGAAACTTGGAAATGTGGACAGATTTTGGAAGTTGCTGCTAATGTTAGCTGAGCAAGCAAGTGAATGGCTTGAGTGGGTGAAGGATTTGATTAATGATGGTTCTGATTAAATTATTAAATAATTTTGGCTGGTCAAATAATAATAATAATAATAATGATAATAATAACAAAATCATGCTTTTTATTTATTTGGTATTCTTAAATTATTTGTCGATTAGCTCAATATGTGATTGGTCCAATTAAAAAATAAACGACGAATTGATTAAATATGAATTCCCTTTTTTCAAAAATGTTCTTTTTTCATGCTATTTTCCATGCCATTAAATTCTGCTTAATATTATTAACACTAACTTTCCTCGATATATTTCTACAAAAAAAAAAAAGAACACGAAAAATAAAAAAAATTTAAAATATAATGATATTAATAACCCAAATTATTTTCTTGCCGTAATAACCAAATTGGATACAAAAACGCATTAATCAATCATTCATGCGCGTGCCAAAAACAAAAACTGCTTATTCTCCAACAACAACGTTTCTTTCTTATTATTGCGTGCCACGAATTGCGTCACACAATTTTTATCTCTAAATACACAACTAGTACATTTACTTACCAAATAAAATCAAAGTCCTTTTTATACCGCCACAGAACTATATACTCCCAAGAGAAATTCTAGCGAAAATATAACTATTACTATAATGTAACGTGACACCCGCATCCACACACTGAAATATTGAAGTAATAATTCCTTAGTGAATGTGAAAAGTCTGTTTCTAATTTTGTGGTCTTGAAATGTGATCCAACCTTTATTTAATTTATGAACTATTCGTCAATATTTTTTTAAAAGCTACCCTTTCCTTTGATTCCAAGTTTTGTTCAATTGTCCGTCTTTTTCTCCATTCTTTACTTGTTCTTCCGGTTTATCGTAGAGAACTGTATAGTTGGCAATTGGCATATGGTGATTTGGTAGGGTTTCTACGATGTTTTCATAATTCTGAGAACATTTCCTGTTTTAAATAGATCAGATGTTATAACAGCGGGCTTAATTGAGCATCCACGGTCGCGATCTGTAAGTTATCTGTCATGCAGAAACGATGAATTTGCCATAAATAAAGTAATATTTTGACATGTTAATTATGTTCGAGATAACAAATTATACGAGGTGCAATAATAAATACAACAACATTTGAAGGAGGAAAGCTTGCGCCTTCAAACGACCAATTTGTATGATAACATTCTGTTGTTATTTAATATAACTTTTCTCAATAAAGAATGGTGCATATATATATTATTGCGAAAACAATTTATTTTTGAATATTAATATGTATGTATTTATAAATAAGTATTTCTCGTCCAATTGATAAATTTTCATATTTATATATATATATATAAATACAAAAAAAAACAATAAATAAATAATAATTGATAAGAAAAGAAAAAATTAAAATATGATTATATATATATATATAAATTATAGAGAGGAATTTAGCAACTATTATTAATAGTAATATAATTCTAATTATAAAATGAAAATGAAAGTGAAATTAAAATTAATGTCTAAAAATAATAATATTAGTTACTATAAGAGAGTGAATTGCGATAAATGTTGTGTATATATGATTATGAATACATTATATTTATTATTTATATTATCATCATTGCCTTTATTATATTATTGCTTTTATTATATTATTATATTATATTATTTCCTTGAATTATCCCTTGCAGCTTTAATCAATGGTGTAAGTGACCTAAGTGGTTCTGATTTATCCAAAAATCTATGCTGTAAAAAATAAATATCGATGAATAAAAAAAATTTAATTAACAATATATTAAAATATTAAATATTAAACATTAATTCAATGAATTTCCAATTTACTTTTAAAAGCTGATTTGCGGTCGGTCTTTTTTCTGAATCAACTTCTAATGAAGCATTCAAAAATTGTCTAAATTCTGTGGATAAGCTTTCAGGATTTTGTAATTGAGGTGTTCCATTTGTAGCAATCAAATATAATGCCTAAATCGAGTTTTTCAAAAAATAAATAAATTTTTTAATTTGATTTAATGAGTAAACATTCAATTAGTAAATATTCAATAACCAATCCATCAATCGATAATAAATCAATAATTAATACAAACTCTTAAAGGATTCTCATTTAAATATGGTGGTTCACCCTCAACCATTTCAATCGCCATAATTCCTAATGACCATATATCAACTTTTGGTCCATATTCTTTACGTGTGACTACTTCTGGTGCCATCCAATATGGTGTTCCCACCATTGTAGTTCTTTTATTATTGTGTTCATTTATTTGTGCACAAAAACCAAAATCAGCTAAAATAATAACAATAATTAATAAATTAATATATTTATAAATAATAATGTGTGCGTGTGTGTGTGTGTATGTATACATATGGCTTACTTAATTTTATATGTCCATCTAACGATAATAAAACATTGTCACTCTTAATGTCTCTATGAATTACACCTTTTGAGTGTAAATGTGATAAACCTTTCAATGTCTTTTAAATATAAAGTAATAAAGATTTTAATTAATTCTTTCACAAACAATTTATCACAAACACGCCCTTCTTTAAACTTACTTCTTTAGAAACAGCGGCAATTTGACCTTCGGTCATTATATTACTGGTAACAACGTCTGTTAAACTTCCACCTTCCATATACTCCATTACCACCCAAAGATCTCCTTTCCAAAGGAAACTATCAATATAATTTACAATATTTTCATGACTTGATTCTTTCATTACTAAAATTTCATTTATAATTAAATCTTTTTTTGGTTGTTGCTCCAAGTTCATTTGTTTAATTGCCACGGACTTGTTAGTACCACTTTGATATGCAGTATATACACCTCCGGATGCACTGAAAGTAGTTTATAGGTTGTGTGATAATAAATTAGTAAATGGATTTTATTAAATATAACAAAATAATATAACATGGTAATAATAACTATTATCCCAATTATATATATGGTTAATTGATAGTTACCCTTGACCAATCTTGACTAGATTTCTATATATTTTAGTTGGATCAGCATCAGTACAAATAGCTTTCAACCGTTCAATTACATCCAAACCATTGTCTTTATTTTGTGTTTTGCGAGGCTCACGACGTCTTTGGTTATTTGGTGGTGGTGGAACTTTTGATGGTGATCCGGCGGAACTATTAGGCGGAGGTGGTGCAATTTTTTGTGTCATTGGATCTTTAGGTCGAGGTGGTTTATTATTATTGGCGGAAGGTTTTGTTGGGGGTGATGACGGAAGTTGTTTATAATCTGATTTGTTATTATTATTATTTAATGATGAGCTATTGTTGTTGTTGTTGTTGTTGTTGTTGTTGTTGTTGTTGTTGATATTGTTGTTGTTGTTGTTGATATTGTTGTTATCTGGTTTACTTTCAAGTGGTGGAAGTAGTGTTATTGGAGGGAGAACTGGGGGAGATTCAGGTGACATTTCTATAAAAAACAATTAATAATAAATTATCCATAATTATGGCATATGTAGTAAAAGTATATTTTTAATCGAATCCAATGTATGTATGTATTACTTACTACGTGGTTTTGATGATGGTGAAGTAGTACCTTTATTATATTTAACTTCCTATTATTATTATTATCGTTATTATTGTCGTTATTAAATATTATTAGATATTATAAATATACAAATATAGAATTAATTATTAGTACTTACCGATGGGCTTGGTAAATTTTGAGGTCTTGAGGGTACGGCAGGTGGTGGTGGCTTTTTCTTTGGTTCAGGAGGAGCTGGAGCAATTCTCTATTTTTATTTTTTTTAAATATACATATATATAAAATAAAATTTCATCCTTTATATATATATATCCATATTTGTGATATCCTTCTCAAATAATGGTTGCTGTGATTTTTATATATTTTAATTTTTTTCGACAAAAAAACCCAGTTTTGGTTTTTAACACTTACAGGATTTTCAAATTCTTTTTCATTGCGTGAAGAAGGAGATGATGATGGTGGTGGTGGCGGTGGTGGTGGTGATTTGTGAACTCTTGCGTTATTAAATTTTTCCCAAATTGCATTTGGGTTTTTACCACCTGCTGTATCTTGATAAAATTGTACAATCTCTATTACAGCCTATAATAATTATGATGATTATGATGATTGTAAATGTAATATATATATATATTTTTAAATAAAAATATATATACAAATTTACAAAATCATAAATATATAAAAACCTGTGGATGAGCTTGTTGATCTTGTTTTGTAATGCCAGAATCTTGTAATAATTGTTGCCATTCTTTTGGTAAACCCTAACAGCATAATTAATTTAATAAATAAATAAATGATTGATTGATTGGTTGATCGATCGATTTATTGGTTAATTAATTAATCAAGATTGGAATAGATCATGCGAATCATTAAATATTCTTAATGGGGACGACTTACAGTAAATTCACCAGTTTCTTGATTAAAACCAACATGAGTTAGATGAACTGGATCATAAGGCGACGAAATTTCTACTCTTTTTTGTGATGTTAAAAGATCTAAATAGATGACGGCGATAACGATCATTATTATGATTATTATGATTATTATATTATATGCCAGTTATAACAATATTAATTAATATATTAAAATATATATATCAATTAATAGTTAAATTTGAAAAAAAATTTTAATTTGATTGCATACAAATATATATAATTAAATAATCGAATATACTTTTTTAAAAAAAATTTTTACCTGACATTGAGCTAACAATATTATTAAAGACACCCTTAAAAGATTTATTATTACCATCTTTTTCATTACTATTAACTGGTTGAATAGGCTCGCCAGGTACATTGATGGCTTGTGCTCCTTTAATAGAGCCATAAGCAGGCTGTGAATATTTTGTAGAATTACTAGAATCAGACGTGGAACTATTTTTCGTCAAAACACTGCCAGCGGAAGGACTACGAGATATTGTGGGTTGATTTTGTGATTGATTATTGTTGTTATTGTTTGTTATTGTACGGGAAGGTTTTGGTGGTGGTCCCAAACTTATAGATTTTTTTGAGGCAGGAGTAGTTCGACGTGAATTGTTATTTATTGCTTGATTATTAGTTTTAACACTACCATTATTTTTACCACCGTTGTTATTCATTTGTCATATATATGTATTTTTTATTTTATTTTTCTACAACTGGAAAAAATTTTTTATGAGGTTGTAGGCGATGAATATGACGTGAGAGATAGTGATTGTTGAGGAGGTAAAAATAAATTTTCGAATGATGTTTCAATAAATTGTTATTATTTATTACTATCGTCTTTATCATAAAAAAAATAAATTTTTTTTGAAGGGAGTTTTTTTTTTGGTATAGCGTTTCAGTGTTTTTTTATGCAGGTCATGCTAAGAATGAACTTATTGTTGCATTTGAGACTGATTGACATGTAATTTTGTAAATGTTTATAAATGGCATTAACATGAATTAGAACATATTATTTGTGCACGTTTAATATTTTACGTGCAAATTCAAAGAAAAAAACGTGGTAAGTACCGATCAACAATAATAATAAATATAAATATATATTTAAATCCCATTCGTAAAACAATAGAATAAATAAAAAAAATTTATTTATTCTAACCACATTAATCAATCAATATCGATCAACCAATATCTATACAACTAAATGGACCCCTCCAACATTATTTATTTATTTTATTTATTTATAGAACAAATTAGTTTTTGTAATACAAAATGTATGCGTATGTTAGTTGATGTTACATGTGAAAAATGGGCAGACTTTTGTGATTTTTAAAAAGCTTGATGCTTTAATATGGATGTTATAAGCCATCATATAAGCCACAATACAACTGAGAGAAGATAGAAGCGATTCACCAAAAAAAAATTTATTTAGCAAAAAAATATACATATTATTTTTAATTATATTAAATACGCTATGTAGATGTAAATTTATATGTAGATTAGATGTAGATTTAGACGATTGTTTGATGATAATGTACTATACAAATTATATTTATACATAAATAGTTTGAAATTAAAGTGAATTAATCTAAGCTTAATCTTCTTGGAAATCTTGCTAATTCAGTAATTTTACTTTGTCGTTTTGATTGTCGTTTAAAATCTACACCAGACATTTCTTCTTCGTCGAATGCATTGCCATGAGGAGATTCTTGAGCTTGATTGTTCATACCATACACTGTCAACACATAAATTCCATTCATCATATTTCTAAAGCAGATAATAGCATAAATGATGGAAAATATTACAAGGAGAAAAGTGACCCCCAAAAAGAAAGTTAAAAAACGTCTTGTGAATTGGTAAGGATCATTATCTGGATTTTCACTGAAATATTTTGGCAAGTTGATTCTGACTAATTTGTAACCGATGTAGACTAAACAGACAAACAAAGCATTTATGACTGATAATAATAAATATTTTAATTCTTTGACAATAGAATACCAAGCCATTGCCATCATTACTACGCCAATAACGAATACTAACACTGTCTCTACCGTACTTTGATCATAACCTATTTGTTGTGATGGAAGTAATTGGATTGCATAGGCTCCAATGAAAAATATATCCATTTTTATCAAAGTTTGTAATATTGATAAATTTATGAAGGCCCTTTTGATTTCAACATCTGCTGAGTAAGTTTTATAAATCTCCCAACCAAATTCTTTAACCAATTTGTAAGCTATGACACACAAGTAAAGTGAAAATACCGCGACCAATCCGATTATAGTAAATTCCAATGGTCTCATTCTAGAAGTGAAATGATGCTTGGCCATATCACTTGTAGGGTACATATCAGATGGGACAAAGATAGCCTCATCAGTACCCCTCTCTTCCAATATAATATGTTGATATATTTGTATTCCGGCATAGGCTAATGAGAGCAAATTGAATATTACCAGAGAAACTAATTGAATTGAATTAGTATTCCGTAATGCATCTATACACATAAGTATTTGAAATCCAAGTGATAAAATAAATCTTTTTTGAAGGAAGGAAAAGAAGAAAAATTAATTAATTAATGATCGAAAAATCAAATATATATTATATATAATACTTACAATGCATGATAAATTAAATCAGCATCAGAAATCCCATCTCCTTGTGGGCCCAATATATATTGATGTACAAAGCTAACATGGAAATAAACGACCACGCATTCCAACATAGTGAGAACAATTGCTTGAGCGATGAAGGAAAAAAACGCTATTTTTCCCATTAATGATAACTTCATGTTTATTATTATTAATTATTAGCTATTTAATGATTATTAATTATTAACTATGTTATTATTGTGATTATTATATTATTTATTATATAAAAAAAAAAAATCAAACTATGAGAATAAAATTCAAAAAACCATTATATATATATATATATATATTTAGTTTTTTTTTTTTTTTTAAAAAAAAAATTTTAAAATAATTTTTTTAAAAATAATTTCGGAATCTTTATTGTTTATATACTATTAAATATATCACACGTATATTTAATTTATACCCGATTAATAATTGTCTCGTCCAATTATTAATATTGAAATAAGCCGTTTCTGAAAATAGATTAAATTAAAACTCATATTTCATCATCGTAGTCGCTCATATGATTCAAAAGATATATTGTATATGTGCACAACAAGGATATTATTTATATCGTTAAAAATTGTTCTAACTGAATTAACTGAATTAATAAAAAAGGGACATATTTTGTAGAACCTTACACAAGATCATCGTGTTACAGTGATTTTTTTGGTAATTTTCGAATTTATGGGAAATGGACCAACAAAAAGTTGGCAACACCCGAACCCAAAACTGTAGTTACATACAATTATTATTATAACAAGGGATTCCTTTTAGCTTACTAAATACCCGCAATTAATTGTTTTCTAACTTTCTCAAAAACAAAATATCCCACTCTTAGTTGGTCCATTTCCCATACAACAAAATTCATTATCACATTGCGGATCAATTGTCATTCAATATAATAACCGTTACACAAATAAATATCGCCCATTTTTAAAAAAATATTTTTCACTGTTTTTCATATCCTATAACTTTTATTGGTCTTGCAGGCCTTTTTAATTCTTTTGACTACTCCGAAATAGAAATATATACCATAAAACAAAACCTTTTTCTGCATTTCATTTTGTTGATATGGCAAATTTTTTATATTAAGGGTAGAATGTAGGGTATTCAAAGTTGTTCCATTCCTGTTCCTTGTTGTACAATACTTTACTCCTATTATTAACATAGATAAAAATCCAATCATTGGCTATTGAGGTCTATCAATCAAAACGATAATGACTTGGCGGATGTAAATCTCTATCAAATTTGGGTGTTATGGCAAACGAAATTTAGAAACTTTTATTATTGATAAAATCAAAATCCAGTTCCGGACAAAAAGAGTTATTTCTACTCAGAAAAGAACAAAAATAGTGAAAAAAAATTGTGCAAATGTGCAGCGTCACTCACTTTCCTAAGTGTTACTTTTTTCGATTTTACAATACTCTTCATGTATAAATTGTCGATCCTCCTTTGATCTTTGTAGCGTCGATCTATCTATAAAAGGATTTTTAACTATGTTATACTATTATTAGGAGCAAGATTATCAATAGAAACAGAATAAGTATTATCTTGTTATTGATTAATAATTTTTAAACTGGAACATTCGTGTGAAATTCTGTGTAAAGAATTAAAAAATATTTTTATTTTTTATTTTTTAAAAAATTAGGGATTCACGATTTTTATATATATAGGGTTTTCGCAAACTATTTTTTAATTTTTACATGCTGAAAATGAATTTTGTGTATGAAAATTAATCTAATATATGACTAAATAATTTAGTCAGTTTAGCCAAATGGGGGCTTTTCAATAGAAACGTGAGTGATGTTTTGAGAAAATTAAAAAAGAAGATCCGCATTTTATATTTTACTATGCAAAGTGAGCATTGTTTCTAAGCCAAAAATGTTCTAGGTAAGGGGTTACATACAGTAATGGTATATAGGTATTAACTCAAAATTGCTTTTTTCACAAACATGGTCCGTTCCTTTTAAGAGGTTAAAGGAATTGTTATCTTCGCTGATCATTATAAAATCACGTGACTACACTCTATCTTTAAAACGATGCGAATTGGAAGCAGCAAACAGGGCGCGAAATCCTGTTATAAAATTGTGGAAAATTCCTATGGCTGATATTAATATTATAATATTTGAAGATCATATTTTATTCATTTTAATTGATTTTTGTTTTGTTTTTGGAAAAGATATATTATAATTTTTTTAATAATATTACTGATATTTACCTCTAAAAATAATTCATAAAACGTTGTTGATGAAATGACATCTGCCAATAGCATTTAGTTCGGCAATTATTCTAAATTCTTGTATTTAAAAGTTTGTGTGGTTTAATTGATCTATTTACCCGACCCATGTTTACCAAGTAATATATTTTTATTTTATTTATCATATTTATCTAATAATAAGAAATATAAATAAATAAATAAATAAATAAATAAATATATCATACAAAATTATTAACAATTATTATAGAACAATTACCTTTTGAAATTCTTTTGACATCCATGTATAATATTGTATTAATGTCTCATACAGTATAATGAGTCAAATGAAGTAATAATCATACCCCCACTACACGAAACAGTAAATGATTTTTTTCCAAATTCTATTTATTGGAAAGAAGAAGAACATTTAAAGGATATTCTTGATAGTCAATGACTGTATTTTGTATCAGATTAAACTGCCTTTTGTTCTATATGATTTATTGCATACAATGCAAATCTCTGAATGGTTTTTATTATTATTATTACTGTTATTATCATTGCTGTTCCAGAAGGTAGTGTTTTCATAACTATTGAAATTACAAATTCCACAAGGTCTAAAATTGCTTTGTTTCCTTCTGACACCAAAAAAGTTTACTAATAAATGTCAATGGGAATTTTCTGATCTAGACTTACAATATATGAAGGCATATATGTGCAAATTTGAGCACACATTCATTATCCCAGCATTTAGTTATACCAGGAAATTTACCAAATATTGCCAAGAATTGGATGGCAAAATAGAAAACTTAATCAAATCTTATGCTGGTTATTGCAACTAGGATGTTGTAACTCAGTAACTCAGTAGGTTGCAACTAAGGTTGTGGGCGAAACTCCTCCAGAAATCAATTGACAGAGTTTTGACAGGTTACACATTAATTGTTAATTAGAATTTCGGCAGAGTTTCGCATTTGGGGGTTTTGGCAGTCATCAGAGTTTTGACAAGGTATATACTAATTGTTCATTAGAGTTTCAACAGAGTTTCAACAGTCATTAAGAGGTTTTGGCAAGCAACCTTAGTTGCAACCCAAAAAAAATCAACATCTAATGCAACTGCTGAAACAATTCTGTCACATAATTAAAAATCAATGATAATAATAATATTCTTCCTGACATGTACTATTAGTATTAATATGGATATTAATATATATTAAATATGTATGATGAATAATCAGTTTTATAAAAATGGTTTTTATTAAAAAAAATTAATGTTAGTAATAAAAGATAATTAATGGTAAAAGATAGTATTGTTTTTTTATTTAGAAATAATCAACAATAGTAGTAGTAATGATTTTATTTAAAAATAAATAAACATCATTTTTGCAGTTATGTGATTCCATTTTTAATACTAAGCCATCATAATTATAGTTGCAGACAGTTTCAGGGGTTCAGAGGTTTCAGGAAAGGTTGCAATTCGGGCTTTAAAATTTGCAGTTGCAGAAATGTCAGACACTAATTTATTAATTCTTACAATGACAATTAAAAAAAAATTTAAAGATGAACAAAAAATTAATACACAAGTTTGAGTGATTGTACTTGAGGAAATTAAAGTTTAATTGTTTATTAGAAAAACAGAAATTTAATCAAGCAATTGATCAATCTATTAATAGATCAATTTCTAGATACTGTTAGCGTATTTTAATTGGTGATAACATAAAATATTACTATTTTATTTATTTAGTTTATTTAGTCGAAACTAATTAACTTGTTAGAAAGTTACTTTTACATTAGGTCGAAATCAAGTTCTTTATATACATGTTCATTTACATATTAGCCCGAATTGCGCGAATCCACTCGGTTTGGACGAATTCGCTCACTTTGTACCTGGGCGAATCCGCACGTTTTGAGCGATTCCTCCCGTTCCGGGAGAATCGTCATTAATCTCTACTAATAAAGCTAAATAAATATGAATGTGCTACGGATTGATTAATAATAATAATAATACGCGAAACGTAGCACGAATTCAGATGATAATAAATAATTATACACGTTATTGATAAATAAAAATAAAAATAAATAATAGATTAAATAAAATAATAATAAAAATAAAAATAAAAATAAAAATAAAAATAGAAATAAAATTTAAATTGTCCCGGAATTAAGAGATTCGACCAAAAGATCTGCGTCAAAATCTAACTCCGGTAACAATACCAATCGGAAAAATCCCCCCAACAAAAAGTGAAATGAAAGCAGAAGATATATATAATTTGTTAATTCAAGTCATTCAAATGTATAGTTGTGGACAGTTTATGGATACAATCGACAATTTGCAGTATGTTTAAGTGCAATATTTTTATATATAATATAATAACTGATTCTTAAAAGTGACTAACAATTTTTATTGAAAATCTCCAGGAGAAATATGAATATGAAATAGGAAATTTCTACAATGATATTAATCAAAAACGAGATGATGTAGAATCCACCAATCATAATTGGTGTAAGCCTACATTAGGAACACTTCAATTTAAAAGCTCATAAGAAAATAAATGATTTGAATTTTATTTAGCAAGAATTTTAATACTAAAATTATGATTTATGTTGCTAAAAGGACTAAAAAGAACAAATAGATAGATAAATATGTAATAATAAGATTCATTGCATTTTATTTTACTTTTTCAAAGATTTCTGCTTTTTGTTTGGTAATAGCACACCTTCATTCTGTTTCCTTTTCCTAATGTTTATTATTTTTCTTTCTTGGTATATTTCATAAGTAATCCTTTCATTCCTTAGATAAGCTTCCAGTATCTGAGTATCATTTATTGTGAAAAATACAAGGAGCAATTTTTTCACTTGTTCTTTGGGCGCTATGGTAGATCTGATATAAATTAGTTTTATATTAACTATTTTTACATAGAGATAATTCTATATATCAAAGAAAAACAAAAGATAACAAATGTGAGATTTTAATAATCACATTACAAATTTTGATTCCTGAAATTCCGATATTCCTTTGTCTGGTTTAGTTGCAGTATGCACAATTTGATTTTTGTTCAAAGTCACTGTGATAAATGAAATGTTCATTATGCTTAAAAAAAGGAAGAAATCAACAAAATTTGCATTTATTTATATTATTATTATGTAACACAAACTCGAGCACGCAATGTCCTATACTGATTTCGGCGACAATAATAATAATAAAGGAAAAATGTAATAATCCTTTTTAGGAATTTGATCCCAGAAATTTCTTTGTGACATTATAATTGTTATTATTGGTTCATTAATGGGCATACTGAAACACGGTTAATTTAAGCTAACTTTAAAAATTAAAGTCTGAAAACAAATGGAAAACTTTATAAATATGAATAGTTCATCGAATCGTTCGGAAGAGAAAAATAAAATTGATTTGAGAAGAAATTTTATTTTCTTGATGAAAATATAAAAAATTAGAAGAAATGGTGGAAATTGATGAAAGAAAATTATTTTTCAGACGCCAAAGACTTTTCCAATTACTAAATACAGTATTAATTATTTTTCTGGGTAAATTCCGTGAAAAATTACAGAATAAATCAAACAAATAACAAATATTTTATTAAATCTTTTTACTTATTTCTAGAAATAATCCAATTGATTACATTTGTGGGCTTTAATCAAGATAGAACAATATTCGACTATTATTTCTCAATAGAAGTGTATGTTTTAAAAATATTTATTAATGTATTTAATCATTGCTAATTTATTAATATTTAATTGTTGCTTGGTAATTTATTAATTTAATTAATTATTATAATTTCTAGATTTCAAATATATGGATTGAAATTATTTTATCATTTATTGCTGGCAATAACGCTAATTGACATATGTAAGAGGGCAATATTTCTATTAATGTTATTTTTTAATAATATTTTTTGCTAACATATTATTATTTTTAATTAAATAGTATATTTCTATCTAAGATTCAAATTTCGATGGTTAAGTGGACCATATCAGTCTGACATATTCAATGACATGTATGCTACAATTGTTTGTTTTATTAATAATTATTATTTTATTTATATTATTTATCTAACAATCTTTAAAATGATTTTTTAGAGCACTTTTTTATTTATGGTCTGCAGCTGGTAATTTTTCAATGTTTCTCAATTTTTCTCAATTTTTCTCGATTTTTATCTTTTAAACAATTCTTAATTTTTTTCATCCCCCCCCAAGGACTTACAAATGTATTTCCATTATTTAAAAGACTTGATATAGAATGTATAGGTGTTGGATTTGATGGTCAAAAGTATGTAGTTTTTTTTAATAGGGTACTTTGTGAAACCTATTGCATTAGCGTAATGCTTGGCTGGTTGATGATAATACAATTTATAATTTCATCGATTTCACATCTAAAATTATGGAGAGCATCTAAGAGATGGGAGATTCCAATTAACAACAACAATAATAGTGATGCTAATAATCAAGTATTTAACAATGATAATAATCAAGTACTTAACGATGATAATGATAAATATTGTTTATAACCAAATATTTGATATTGGCAAGTAATTCTAGAATCTGGAAGATTCCAAGATTAAATTAATCATAATGATATAATAATATTACCAAGCTAAATACAAAATTTAATATGTAATCACTTTTAATCACGTTCATTATATTATTAGTCATTATATATACTGTGCATAAATAGATTTATTACTACGAATTTTTCCTTTTTTTTTTTACAATTTCCTCCAAATCAATTAATAATCATAATCACAAAACAATTAAATACAACACATTCACTCACTCTTAAATTCATATTAATTCACCCACTCAATCAATCAATCAATACACTCGTTCACTTGCTTGCTATTAATATGTCGTCACCACCAAGACAATTAGAGCTAGAAGAATTTCGTAAAAGAACTTTACGCTTAATGGAAGCTTTTGTTTATGATTTTATGAAAAAAAATGACTGTGAAGATTCTGCAAGAACTTATTACAACGAAAAAAATCTAGAAAATTGGCCTCCGCCTTGGTTAGCTCACAATTTTCCCAATGGACTTGCCTCAAATAATATTAACAAAAACACCAACACCACCACCGTATCTGATAACTATACACCATCATCACCTTCAACCACAACAACTATTACACCAACTACTACAACTAGTAATAATAATCTTGATAACAATACTCGGGAATTCTCAACAACAGCGACAATGATTAATCAAGAATTTGATAATTCAAATTTTAACAAGTCGACTTTTTCTTCCCTCGGAAACAATAGTTATGTTAACACTAGAATTAACAATAATGGTTGTCTAAAAACATCTGATCTTGATGATTTGTTTGGTTTAAATTTGAAATCTGGTTTTTCTGAGCATGAGAATAATCAACAATATCTTGATGATAATAATGATATTAAGATGGAAGAAAAGGATTTATTAAATATCAAGTGTGAGTTTGATTCAGATAACAATAACAACGAAAATAGTGATGATGGTAATGTGGATGTTAGACAATTATATTTTTCTACTTCTTCACCTTCGATTTCATCATCTACATCACCAACAATAACATCTTCTGCTCCTTTATCTCGAACAAGAATTATGAACATGGATCATAATCAAAATCAGCAAAAGTTTGATCATGATGATAAATTTTCACCACAACAAAAGGATAGTAATAAAGGTCAGGGTCGAAATAATCAAGATAATGACTCACCACTAACTAATTATAAACAACTTCCAGACTTATCATTGCCGTTAGACGTTCCAGAAGGTTTTCTTACTGAATGGTTTTTAACATTTTGGGAAGCTTATAAATCAACTCATGAAAGTATTGTTGGAAAGCATATCTAAGTAGTAAATCTTTTTCTTTTGCATAATTTTTAAACATATAAATAGCTATATAATTGATTGTATCTAATTTTTCTTTGGCTTGAATATTCTGCATAAATACTTAACAAATATATAATTATGAAATGCTAATTGTAAATAAAAAATCCTTCTAATTTTTTTTGTTTGGATATTGTTGTACTAATAATTTCTTATAACATATATAAACTCGATAAGTCGGTCACGCGGGGGCACATTTGACCGACTTATCGAATTTCATATAAATTTTTTGAATTTTATTTAATAAAATATAATAAATTGTTTAAACAATGTATAAAAATTATTCATTACTATTATGAAAAAAAATTTCTAAGGTAGGTTGTTTTAAAGAAGCATTTTGTTATCTTTATTCGAGACAAAAGGTTAGAAATTGATTGTATTTTATTTTATTTCAAATTAGATTTAATAATTTTCATGAATTTAAAATTG